ATCTATCTATCTATCTATCTATCTATCTATCTATCTATCTATCTATCATCTATCTATATTTATTTATGTGTTATGTAGAGGCCAGAAGACAATGTGTCCTACCATAGGGGCTAGAACTCTGGTCCTCAGGCTTGACAGCACATGCTTTTACCTGGTGAGCTATCCACAGGCCCACCTACCTGTTTTTCTTTTCCTTCCTTCCTTCCTTCCTTCCTTCCTTCCTTCCTTCCTTCCTTCCTTCCTTCCTTCCTTCCTTCCTTTCTGGTTTTTTTTGGGGTCTTACTCTATCTTTTTCTTCTTCTGAGATAAGATATTTCTTTGTAGCCAAGACTGGCCTTAGTCTGTTGCCTGAGTGCTGGGATTACAGAGGAGCTGTTTCTTCCTTGGGAGGGAACTGCTATTGAACTTATTCTTCTGCAGAATTACCTCACACAGCACAGAAAATTTGAGCCTCTTATTTGGACACTTCTCTGAAGCTAGGACACACACTGCTGTGCTGGAAAAGTATTTTGTAACTCTGTATCAAGTGGAAAGAATTGTCAGTAGTAAATAATTCTTATCTCTACTTTTCTAATTGCCTAAGGACCACCATAATATATTTTCATACTTCAGTGACCTGTAGACTTTAAATGATCAGATTATTGATATAATACATCATCACCTGTATAATGTTTTATGCTTATTGAGAAGACAACTAAGAATGGTGTTTCTTCTTTTCCTCACTTTCCTGTTTCTTGTGGTCATTCAAAGTGAGAACCAGGTTCTCCTCCTCATTCTAGCTTGTCTTCTGAAGCCAATATTTATCAGAAATGATTATATATTTGAAGCTCATGGTACAATGATAGAAATGAGAACGTCCCTGCTTTGTATTGGGTTGCAGAATACTATATAGCAAAGTCTTTGCATAACATGGCTTCTTTTTCACAGCTGTATTAATTTGAATATAATTCAAAATGTTCTGATTTACTGGGTACTCTGTCAGTCTCTTTCATTTTCATTCTGAGGAAAGAGGATTCTTAGTATATTGAAAAGACATCAATTAACAGAAGACCTTCCTCCATCATAATTTCTTTTCTTGAAGACATCTCTTATTTTCTTTCCTTTTACTTTTTTTACTTGATGTAGACCATTTATTTTAATATTTGTCCAATATCTTAACATCTAGTACTTTATGTTGACCATTATATTTTAACATTTGTCCAAAAGACTTGCCAGTTTTGGGGAAAGAAGAGAGGGGTAGGGAGGGGAGGAGGGAGAGAACTAGAGGGGGGGGATACAAAGTAAATAAAGTATAATTAAAAATAAAAAAAATTCTGAGTCAGCTGTATCTGAGTTTGCATCTGGCTTCAGAAACCAGCCATGTGACTCTGGATAAATTACTTTAGCCTCTTTAACAGCTTTGCTTATAAGCTGAAAGGAGAAGACAGTAACATAAAACTGGCAAGTCCTTTTACTTTTGAATAAAGAGATTGACTTTTATTCAGTCTGAAAGTTCTGAAACATATTTTTGAAGTTTTACTTTTTAAATTTTCTTACGTTGCAATAGATATATGTATATTACTCTGATAATATTTCTCCCATTATGCTCTGTTATCTCCTTCTGTTGAACCTCTTCTTCCCAACATGCCTCTACTACTGTGTGTGTGTGTGTAAGAGACAGAGAGAGAGAGAGAGAGAGACTATTTAATCAGGTTGCTTTCATGAGCATGGATGGGGAATTATGCAGTTGAAAAGGATAACTTTCGACCCCCATTAATTGTGGAATGTTGGCAGGCTCAGTCTTGTACAGGTCTTGTACATATAGTTCCTGCTGTTGTGAGTTCAACACCCATCTTATGTCAGGATGTTAGGGTTTTGTAATACTCCTTCTTATCCTTTGGCTCTTACATTCTTCCCTCTTCCTCCATGTTCCCCGAAACTAGCATGCGGTGGTAGAGATACAATGTTTAGGGCTGAACATCCCATTCAACAATTGCTTATTCTCAGCACCTTGGTCAGTTTTGCATCCCTGCATTATCTATTACCTACTGCAAATAGAAGTTTCTCCAATGAGGATTGGAAGTAGCATTAATCAATGACTATAAAATAAATACTTAGAAGACAGCGTGACACCATGTTTATTTAGCAAAGCCACAGTAGTAGGCTTCCTCACTCCCCAGGGCTCATGATCATTCTGGCCACCACTTTTAAGCATATTTCAGTACCAGACATGAATTTCTTCTTCATTTTATTAATAAATATATTACAGGGATATATATATATATATATATATATATATATTTATGTTTTTATGTGGTTTTATCACCTTTGAACCATAAAAGTTTTCTGTTTATCATTACAGGTGGCCAAGCGTTATCATATATTGAGTACATCATCCCAGCTATTATTATTTTGATCATCATAGGATCCATTTGGCTTTTGAAAATCAGAGGCTTCAGGTATTAAGAGTGAGAAATATGGGATTGACTGAGTGGTACATCAGGGAGTAACAACAATGTTCTCATAAGCAAAGTGGACACATGAGGAATTAGCATGGCTTACTTTGCATGGTGACAGTGTTTAGTGACTTGCTCAGGAGGGCAAGCACTTGAATTAAGCCAGTAAGGACTGAGAAGCAGGGCATGCTATTTCTTTAATTTGAGAAAACAGCTACAATAATTCTTTTCGTGTAACAAAGAGATGGTGTCCCATACAATTTATTGCCTCAAGCTCCTATCTCAAAGTTTTGCTTTTCCAGCTGGGTGTGGTAACACATGCCTTTAAATGCCAGCACTCGGGAGGCAGAAGCAGGCAGATCTTTGTGAGTTCCAGGCCAGCCTGGTCTATGAAGCAATTCCAGGATAGGCAAGGCTATTACACAGAGAAATCCTGTCTTAAAATCCAAAAAAAAAAAAAAAGTGATTGTTTTTCCTTAAGAGCCAGAATTTTCTTCTTTGTTATGGAAGCTGCAATTCAGTGTATTCCATTCATTTCTGATTTACTGTGCTTTACATATTAATTATCAGAGCATTTTGATATCATAAATGTTAATTCTAAACAATGATGTTGTCGGCAGACACAGCAGATTGTTTCATTTTATTTATTTTTTAGAAAATGTAAATCACCCAAATTGGAAGCTCCTCCAGCTGCTGCAGAGGTAAGACAAATTAAAGAATATTTGCAAAATTTAAAGCCACATGGTCTTCAATCTAGCTGCATTATCTGTAATTTGCATCAATATTCATGTTTTAGCTGAACAAAACAATTCTGATTTTACACTGTTAGTAGTCAGACATATTTTGCTAATTACCTATCAAATTATATATATGTAATTATATACATATACATATGCATGTATAATTAACGTACATATGATTATATATATATATCTTAATCATTTTGCCCTATTTGGAGTGTAGTCTCTGGAGAAATTAAAAACGTGTTTCCTTCTCTATGAAACTGTGTCTAATTCCTGACTTCCCCTTCCTTCTCTCATCTAAACTTAAAGAAGCCTGCTCTTTACTCTTCTACAACCAGCTTCTCATTATCTTGGAATCATTCTCCCCCCCCCATTTTTTTTAATATCGACTGTGTTTATTTATAATAAACCACATACAGTAAGAACAATCAGAAAAACCATATGTAAAAGTTGACAATAAATTGTCTCTGTCATCTGTTAGTTTTGGAAGCTGTTTGCCTTTACTTCCTACTTAAGTAATAATTTTATTTCTTCTCAAGTCTCTGATGAGCTTGAAGACTAGATAGTTACAGTTCCTCAGTTAGGCTTAAGTTGTTTAGGATTTAAGAAAATGTTTTAGGGTCTTGAAAGATGATTTTTAAATAAATAAATTCAAGATCTGATAGAGAATGTTTTCAGTATAAAACTTCAAACTCACCTAGACTGGACAGGTAATATTTTCTTTGGCTCATATTTTTGAAATGCTTCTTAGGTCACTTCATTTCTCTACATGTTGACTTTCACCCAACAACCATTTCACCCAAAATATAAATAATCACCAAATGGTTTTGATAGACTATTAGAACAAAGACTTGTTTTTCTGTTCATGTAAGTGAGAGACACACATAAGCATTATTAGTAGGTGCTAATATGGTAGAAATCTGGGTTACTTTCTTGCTCTCTGGAATGTGTTTTGACTTTGAACTTTTTCTAAGGATGATATGGAGCCTTATGCGAGCTACACAGAGAAGAGCAATCCACTCTATGATACAGTGACCAAGGTGGAGGCACTTCCGGTGTCACAAGATGAAGCCAATGGCACAGACTGGCTTACCTTGTCAGCCACTGGAATCTAGAACAACAACAACAAAAATGAATCAAGAGACATCATAATTACTGCTTTGCTCTTCTTAAAGTTCTACAATGGAAGGATTACTTGGAAATGAGCTCTTCTAAAGTTCTTAGGAAAAAGCACAAACATTCTAATGGATTTGTGTTTATATACTTCCATGATTGGAAATTTGGAATCTTTGCTGCTACCAGTTAATTCTTTGAAATACTGATGTAATTATTACAAAGAAAGGACATGGCTATGGTAAAATGTCAAACTGTGCAATACAGTATGGTGAAAATGACTTTCCTGAAGAAATAACTGCAGAAGGAACAATCATTACTAAAGAGTTTCTTGTGAGTTTTTCTAATTTTTTTCTCTGATTGTGATATGCCTAAGGTATATGTGTGCATTTATGTGTTTATTTACATATGCATATATATGCATACATATGCTTGTCAAGACATCTTGTCAAAAACATTGGAATTGGAATGCTGGACTTATAAAAGCTACTAACGTGAGTATTTGAGATACATTTTTTATCAACCGAAGCAAAACTACCTCATTCTTTTTAATGGCTACATAAAGTTCCACTGTATAATTACCTTGTCACGGCCCTTGGATGGGCATTTAGATTTTGTTTTGTGTGTGGTATTAAACAATACCATGTAGAATGTTTCTTGTGGTTAATCTCTGCATTATTTGAGTATACTTGTGAGATAATTTCTTTGAGTGCAATGGTCCTGTCAGTTGGAATGCAATAGAGCAATAGATCAGGCAAACGGTGTCAATTTACATTCCCTTCAATTGTGTTTAGATGTTTTTTTTTTTTATATCTTTAATATTCTCAATTCCACAGTTTCTACTTTCCATTTTTAATGAACCAGTTGGGTGATATGTCTTAAGGTTATGATATTTACTCTATTATTTAATGGAACTGAATTTATGTCTTTATCATGTCTGTATTTCTAATAACTACTCTCAACTCAACTTGTGTCACTACAGAGGTGCTCATAGCTCATGCTTAACAGTTTTACAGATATTATGAATTTTGTATTTTTAACACTGTATTCTGATATATTTATCAAAAAGCAGTATATTCCAAAGACATACATATTGGGTTATTTACACCCTAAAGCGATGGCAATGATATGATAAGACTTTCCCTCCATTTTTCTTTGGAGGGAAATTTTAGGAATACACATATTGATAACTTTTGCTGTATATTTGTAATTGTTAAAAATAATCCTGTTCCCTAATATCAGGATTCAGCAATCCAAGCTGTTGCTGAAGGCCTGGAACATTCCAGGACAGCCACCAGTGTTCAGTCTGCTTTGGAGAGCCAAGGAAGCTGAGTTCTGATGTCAGTGAAAATGAAAACAGCGGAGGCAGCCATTGTAGAGCGTCAGCGGCGGAAGGATTTACTTATATTCTGTCATCTAGATGCTCCTAGACCATTTTGGCCAGAGACCAAGTGTGTCCCATTGCTGCATGATCTGGCAACAGATCTAGGTGTTTTCCATCTGATGCTGGTTATGCAGACATACAGAATTCAAGTGTTGTGGATGCTGCCACTCATATTTAAAGAAATGCTTGGGAGGCATCTATTTTCATCAAGAATATTGGTTTATAGCTTCTTTTCCCTTTTGATATCTTTAGTTTTCCTATCAGTGTGAAATGGAACTTGAAGAACTCTATGGATTTGGGGAAGGCGTGGTACTTGTAATTATTTCAGCATTAAAAAATTCCAGTGACAGGATCACGGCCTGAACTCTTATTTTTATCAATTGGGAGTTACATTATTTCCGATTTTGTCTTAATACTACTTGTGTTTGTTCAGACTCTTTATTTACTCATAATGCTTCCTTGTATGTTATTAAGATGCTCTGCTTCTTTTCAGTTATCTGGTTTGTTGGTTGGTAATTACTCATGGTGGTTCCTAATGATATTTAATTTTCAATTTCATCATCATTATCATCAATAGCTGTAACTATGGAGACATTGGTATCACCATGCCACCCTCACAATCCCCTTGCCTCTACCTCCCAAGTGCTGGGATCACAGATGTGAACCAGGGCTCTTGGCTCTCTTATGATATTGTTGTTTCTCTGATAGCAGTTGTAATGATTCCCCTTTCATTTTGACATTATATATCTGTTTCTTCGCCCTCATTTTTCTTGATAAATATACAGGTATATTTTTTGTTTATATATATATTTTAAATATCCAAATTTTAGTTTATTGTTTTTTTCTATTCTGTATTTTATTTCCTTCCCTCTTTCCTTCCTTCCTTTTTCCTTTCTTTCTTTCCTTTTTTCCTTCCTCCCTCCCTCCATGCCTTCCTTTCTTCCTTCTTGTCTTCTCCCTCTCCTTTCTAGCTCTTTCATTCTCTCTCTTTCTCTCTCTCCCCCTCTCTCTCCTATGAATTTAGCCAAGGTCTTTCACGTGCTAAGCAAGTACTGTGCGTTGAAGCTGCACCCTGACCTTTTCATCTAAACTTTATTATTATTGTATTTCTTATGATAATTTGGGCTTAGTGTTTTTGTTCCAGCTCTTTGAATTATAGTCAGAGTTTTCATTTGAAAAATTTTACAATGTAGGTATTTATCACTATAAACTTAAAAGTTTAAGTACTGTTTTTTGTACATTTCGTACATTTTGGTGCACCATATTTTCATTTTCTTAATGTTGTTTTTAAAGTTTTCTTTTAAATTTATTCTTTTATCTGATGATTGTTGAAAGATGTGTAAATTTCCATGTATTTGTGAAAATTCCTTTTCAACAGAGAAAAACTACTTGGTTCTGTATAACCTGATAACAATCCATCTAAAAAGAAAATTAAATACGTTTTGTGCAGTAATATAAAAAAGAATAAAGTCTTTAGAGGTAATTTTAATTAAAGAAGTAAAAACATCATACTAAAAACTATAAAAAGATATTGACAAATTAAAAGACAATTTGTTATTCATAGATTGGAAAAGTTACAATCATAGACCAAAAGATCTACATGTTCAATACAATTCCTATTAAAATCCCAGTGACATAATTTTTATAAAAAAGAAAAGATTTTCGGAAAAGTTTCTGTAAAGCAAAAGACACTGTCGTCAAAACAAAACAACAGCCTACAGACTGGGAAAGGATCTTCACCAACCCTATATCTGACAGAGGGCTAATATCTAGTATATATAAAGAACTCAAGAAGTTAAAAGCAACAAATCAAGTAATCCAATTAAAAAATGGGGTACGCTTTGATCACCTCACCCTGAGGGGGGAGCAGCCTTACCAGGCCACAGAAGATGATGATGCAGTCACTTCTGATGAGAACTGATAGACTAACATCAGAAAGAAGGAGAGGAGGACCTCCCCTGTCAGTGGACTTGGGGAGGGGCACACATGCAGAAAGGGGAGGGAGGGTGGGATCGGGAGGGGAGGAGGGTGGGGCTTATGGGGGGATACAAAATGAATAAAGTGTAATTAATAAAAGTTAAAAAAAGAAAAAAAAAGAAAAAAGGGGTACGGAGCTAAACAGAGAACTCTCTGTAGAGGAATGTAGAATGGCAGAGATACACTTAAAGAAATGCTCAACATCCTTAGCCATCAGGGAGATGCAAATCAAAATGACCCTGAGATTTCATCTTACACCCATCAGAATGGCTAAGATCAAAAACTCAGGTGGCAACAAATGCTGGAGAGGATGTGGAGAAAGGGGAACCCTCCTCCATTGCTGGTGGGAATGTAAATTTGTACAACCACTTTGGAAATCAATCTGGCGCTTGCTCAGACAATTAGGAATAGTGCTTCCTCAAGATCCAGCTATACCTCTCCTAGGCATATATCCAAAATACGCTCAAGTACACAACAAGGACATTTGTTCAACCATGATTGTAGCAGCTTTATTCGCAGTAGCCAGAACCTGGAAACAACCCATATGTCCCTCAACTGAGGAATGGGTACAGAAATTGTGGTACATTTACACAATGGAATCCTACTCAGCAATTAAAAACAAGGAAATCATGAAATTTGCAGGTAAATGGTGGGATCTAGAAAAGATCATCCTGAGTGAGGTATCCCAGAAACAGAAAGACACACATGGTATATAATCACTTATATAGACCTGTAAGATAGGATAAACCTACTAAGATCTGTACACCTAAAGAAGCTAAACAAGAAGGAGGACCTGGGGTAAGAAGATCAATCCTTACTTAGAAAGACAAATGGGATGGACATTGGAAGTAGGAGAAAATGAGAAACAGGAAAGGAGCCTACCACAGAGGGCCCCTGAAAGACTCTACCTATCAGTGTATCAAAGTAGATGCTGAGACTCATGGCCAAACCTAGGGAAGAGAACAGAAATAACAGATGAGATGCATCACCAACAAAATTCAAGAGGTGGAAGAGAGAATCCTAGGAGTAGAAGATACAATAGAAGGAATTGACACAGCAGTTAAAAAAAAAAAGGTAAATCTAAAAAAAAAAAAAAATCCTAATGCAAAGCATCCAGAAAAATTGGGATACTGTGAAAAGACCAAACCTAAAAATAATAGGAATAGAAGAAGGTAAAGAGCTCCCAGCTCCAAAAACCAGAAAATATTTTCAACAAAAATCATAGAAGAAATCATCCCCAAACTAAAGACAAAAATGCTATACATATGCAAGAATCCTACAGAACCTCACTTAGATTGGACCAGAAAAGAATATCCTCCCAAAACATGACAATCAAAACACCAAATCTGTAGAAAAAAGAAAGAATATTAAAAGTTGCAAGGGAAAAAGGCCAAGTAACATATGAAGGCAGCCCTATCAAAATTACATCTGACTTCTCAACAGAGACTCTAAAAGCTAGAAGGGCCTGGGCAGATGGCATGTGGCCCCTAAGAGCCCACAGATGCCAACCTAGACTACTATATCCAGCAAAACTCTTTCAGATTCAGGGTCAGGAACCTTATCAGTTGAGCTTTCCAACCCTCTTCAGCAAAACTCTCAACCACCATAGATGGAGAAAAGGTATTTCAAGACAAAACATATCTATCCACAAAGCCAACCCTACAGAAAATACTAGAAAAAATACAACCCAAGAAGGTTAACAACATTCAAGAAAATACAGGGAATAAATAATTTCACAACAGCAAAAACAAAAGAAGGGAAGCACACACACTCATACTACGACTACTGATATCAAAATTACAGGAATCAATAATCATTGGTCATTAATATCTCTCAACATCAATGGACTCAATTCCCTAATGAAAAAACATAGGCTAACAGAATGGATAAAAAATCAGGATACATCATTGTGTTGCAACTCACCTCAGCAACAAAGATAGACAATACCTTAGAGTAAAGGGCTGGAAAAAGATTTTTCAAGCAAATGGACCCAAGAAAC